TAGCAGTTTGTATGCACAAATAGAGCCTAACAAATGTATGTTAAACTGTTTAAAGGTCTAGAAAAACCAAAGCTTTCTTCACCACTTATGGCCATGTGCCACCATTTACTGTGTGTGCGGGTGGAGCATGGCTTAATTGAGCCACACCTTCATTGCAGCCACACCTTTACATTGCTGCAGCTAGCTAGCTTTACAAGTGGGTGTGTATAGTTATCACTGGTTAAGGTTTCTTTGGTTATTTGATGTGGTATAAGTAAAAGACAAACATAAAATAATAAAGTTGTTAATCTTTTGCTTTTAGACTTGAGAGAGGTTTAAGATATAAAAAGTATACATGTTTCATTTTCATTACTTCATTGAATTAAACTTTTATCTAATCTAGAACCTTGAAGTGCAACTTCTGCATGCATTGAAGAAGAAACATGCCGCACTAACATCTTGCCCGATAAATTGTTTTTTATTTTCTCTTTTACATAATAAAAAAAATATAATAAGTCAAAACATAATAGTGCAATTATGTATGTATACAAATATCAATTCTTTCTCTGACCCACTGACTTTACTGAATTCCTGTATAATAACTATAAGTCATTATACTATGCACACAGTTATGAAGTCTTTACTTTAAACTGAGACAGTTTCTATTATTAAAAACACAAATAGCTCAACCTACATAAATGTTGTGGCGAGGGTCTGCACTTAAGTGCTCTCGTTATGATCCTTAATCTGTTCACTATGAAATGACTTTTTAATAATTTTTATGTGGCTTTTTTTTATGGTATTCTCACTATTTCTTAGTAAAGCTACAGTACACATGAAAAGAGTGATGGTTGGATAAGCTATATGTATAATGTATATATTGCTCCGACTTTTGGTTATCTTATTCAGTTACTATGTAAGGGTTGACACATCAAGTTTACATATTGTAGATAGTGTTGAGGATATTATTTAACCACTTTTGACAGATTAGATCTACATGTTATTACTGTATGTACATGTGTATTATTTATTGTGTATTCATTGTTTGTGTAAACAGGAACTTTCTAGATTATTCTCTTAGTCTCTTGATCTTGTGTTTGTATCCTTCTTCTAGAACATTCTGGACATCTTGCTAGTATATATAAGCACGCACATTTCTCTCTCTCTTGTTGTTCTTTCCTATTATTATTATTCTCCTCATTATTATTGGTTAAGTGTTGCTTAGTTATCAAGATCGATTAATTAAATCTTAACAGATAGTAAGTGTCTTTACTCTCAACAGGCTCAATGTTATAGTTCTTTGTTTATTGTGTACGAAGTATTTGTTTGTAGTTTAAATCACTGAAGTGAAGTGATGTTATTTTTTTCAATATAACTTATGTAAGATAAATGTATTATCATTATGTAGCAAATTGAATTACGTCTACTTGTACCATCATAGTAGGAATAATTATGGTGACCAGTTTGGCTAAGCAGCTAGCTAAAAAGTGGCAACCTTATCTTTATATTACTCCTTCAGCAGTCTTGGTTCTAGTATGGAACTATCTCATGTATTCTTATTACATATTAGGGAGTCGTTTTACTGGTGAATTTCTTAGTGAAGTTGCTCCTGCCACTTGGTATAAGTATGGTTTAGTCATTATATATTTTTTTGGTTACTTCTTTTTCCCTTTTCTTGGTCTGTTAGCTGATGTATGGATTGGAAGATACAAAGCTATACTGATTGGTATAGTATTGTGTTTTATAGCATGGATCATAATAGGAATTAGATTTATTGTTGAAGTTACTTTGTCTCTAAAGCAGTGTTATGGATAATTTTTAGCTTTGCTTATATAATGAATTTTTGTGGTGTATCCAGTTTCACTGCTAACATTATTCAGTATAACATTGATCAACTTGTTGGAGCCACAGCTGATGAACTCAATTCTGTCATATACTGGCATATACTATTTAAACCACTTGTTTTATTCCTTTTTTACCTTCTTCAATGCTTATTTTATAGTAGTAAGTATTGTATTATGATCACGTTCATAGCATCAGGTGTATCTGTATCTCTTGTACTGGTGTCTCATTCATTCTTCAAACACAAACTGGAGAACATATCACTGATCATGAATCCCATCAAACTGATAGAGTATTGTGTTATGCCAGGAAGCACAAATATCCTGAGAATCGTAGTGCTCTGACCTACTGGGAGGAAGAGGCTCCTTCAAGACTAGACCTGGGTAAGGATAAATATGGTGGACCATTCACAGAGGAAGAGGTAGAAGATGTGAAGACAGTATTTTGTATGCTACCATTATTTATTGGTTTCACTGCAATTATTCTCAGTGATGACTATTATTGGTCTGCTGTTAATGGCTTTACATTACCAACTTGCTTTGCAGTAACAGGCACTCATTATTTTTTGTTCAGTCATTCTAATGTTAGTTTATTTATTCTTTATCAGAGTTTGTTTCTACAAGTATATTCCCAGTATGCTGACTAGAATGGGTGTTGGTATCTTCCTTGCTTTCATTGTTACAGTTTCTAACTGATCACATTTGTCTTTGAGAGGTCTCATCCTGACTTAAACAGCTTTAGTAAATTACTCTTTATTCCACAAACTATCCAAAGTCTCTCTTTTATTCTTGTGTATCCAGTATCACTGGAGTTTACAGTAGCTCAGTCTCCAGTACACATGAGAGGAGTGATGGTTGGATTGTGGTATGCTACTTCTTATGGGCTTAGTTTTCTTATTAAAATTATCGCCAAGTTTCCATTTAATTGTGAGAGTCAATACATATGTGCTAGTTTCTATTATTATATAACAAAGAGTGTACTAGTGCTTATCATACTGATAGTATTTGTGATACTGGCTAAACGTTACAAGTATCATGTGAGAGAGAATGAAGTTAATATTGTTCAGATAGTTGATGATCATTATCAGAGATATTTAAATCAAAGGGAACAATTTGGTAGTGACATTGACAGTTTCTCCTACAGTATGTAATAATAAAGACTATCAATGGTACATGTAAATAATGTGTCTCTTTACTTTCTATAGTTTCAATGTTTTGTAATCCTTTGTTCATTATGTATAGCATTTGCTTATAGTTTAGTTCAATACAATAAAGAGATGTTACCTTTTCATTTTCAATGTGCAGTAATTAAAGTAAATTATTTTGACTATACATGCATCTATAGAACTATTCAACTTTTGATTGCGTGTAATATGATAGCTTAAGTTATGGTGACTTCTTTTGCGATACACTTAGCTAAAAAGGGGCAACCACTTTTTCGTATTGCTCCTTCAGCAGTCTTGGTTCTGGTATGGAACTGTCTCATGAATTCTTATTACATAATAGCAAGTCGTTTCACTGGTGGATTTATAGATCAAGTTGCTCCTGCCACTTGGTATAAGTATGGTTTAGTCATTATATTTTTCCTTGGATATTTCTGCTTTCCTTTATTTGGTCTGTTAGCTGATGTATGGATTGGAAGATACAAAGCTATACTGATTGGTATAGTATTGTGTTTTATATCATGGATTATAATAGGAATTGCTTTTTTTATTGAAAGTTACTTTCCTCACTCTAAAGCAGTGCTATGGAGTTTTTTCACTTTTGCTTATATTGTATATTATTTTGGTTTTTCCAGTTTTTCTGCTAACATTATTCAGTATAACATTGATCAACTTGTTGGAGCTTCAGCTGATGAACTAAATTTTGTCATATACTGGCATATACTATCTGAACCACTTGTTTTATTCCTCTTTTACCTTCTTCAATGCTTATTTTATAGTAGTAAGTATTTTATGATGATCACTTTCATAGCATCAGGTGTATCTGTATCTCTTGTACTGGTGTCTCATTCATTCTTGAAACACAAACTGGAGAACATATCACTGATCAAGAATCCCATCAAACTGATAGTTAGAGTATTGTGTTATGCCAGGAAGCACAAGTATCCTGAGAATCGTAGTGCACTGACCTACTGGGAGGAAGAGGCTCCTTCAAGACTAGACCTGGGTAAGGATAAATATGGTGGACCATTCACAGAGGAAGAGGTAGAAGATGTAAAGACAGTATTTCGTATGCTACCATTATTCATTGCTTTTAGTGTAAGTATTCTATGTAATGACAACTATTGGTCTGCTGATAAGAGTTTTACATTACAAACTTGCTTAGCAGTAACAGACTCTCAGTATTATTTATGCTCAGTCATTCTAACATTACTTTATTTATTCTTTATCAGAGTTTGTTTCTACAAGTATATTCCCAGTATGCTGACTAGAATGAGTGTTGGTATCTTCCTTGCTTTCATTGTTACAGTTTCTAAAGTGATCATATTTGTCATTGAGAGGTCTCATCCTGACATAAACAATTTTGGTAAACTGCTCTTTATTCCACAAGCAATCCAGGCAATTTCTTATGTTCTTGTGTATCCAGTATCACTGGAGTTTACAGTAGCTCAGTCTCCAGTACACATGAGAGGAGTGATGGTTGGATTGTGGTTTGTCACTTCTGCAATTGGCTATGTCGTTAGCATTACTTTTAAGCTTCCATTTAATTGTGAGAATCCATACATATGTGCTAGTTCCTACTATTATATAACAAAGAGTGTACTAGTTCTTATCATACTGATAGTGTTTGTGATACTGGCTAAACGTTACAAGTATCGTGTGAGAGAGAATGAAGTTAATATTGTTCAGATAGTTGATGATCATTATCAGAGATACATAAATCAAAGGGAACAATTTGGTAGTGACACTGACAGTGACTCCTCTAGTGATTGACAGTATGTACTAATAAAGAGATACTCTAATAGTTTCAATGTTATTAACCAATTTTTATTGTAGAGTTTGTTTATAGTGTTATTCAATTAGAGTGAAGTGATGTTTTCTTTTCAGTTTTATAATTTTTATAATAAACACATCAATGATTGTGCATATCAATCAAAGTAATCTACTTTGAAATACCTATGTTTTGAACATGAATTATACCTGCATGAATTGTTAGTAATTATGGTGACCTATTTTTCTACGCAAATAGGAAATGATTCATATTACTCCTTTAGCAGTCTTGGTTTTAGTATGCTTTGTATTATTATTACATTCTGTGATTTGATCTACTGGTGGGTTTTCTACTAAAGTTGCTCCTACCACTTGGTATAGTCATTATGGGCCAGGCTTCTACAATATAACAGAGACAGAATTAGTACATTTATACGAACTGTTTGCAATAATTTATTGATAGTTCAGGTGAATATTTAATCCTGCATGCTCACATATTATGTTAGGTAGCTTGAAGTTTGGATCACTCATTATGATCCTTAATCTGTTCACTATGAAATGACTTTTTAATAATCTTTATGTGGCTTTTTTTTAATGGTATTCTCACTATTTCTTAGTAAAGCTACAGTACACATGAAAAGAGTGATGGTTGGATAAGCTATATGTATAATGTATATATTGCTCCGACTTTTGGTTATCTTATTCAGTTACTATGTAAGGGTTGACACATCAAGTTTACATATTGTAGATAGTGTTGAGGATATTATTTAACCACTTTTGACAGATTAGATCTACATGTTATTACTGTATGTACATGTGTATTATTTATTGTGTATTCATTGTTTGTGTAAACAGGAACTTTCTAGATTATTCTCTTAGTCTCTTGATCTTGTGTTTGTATCCTTCTTCTAGAACATTCTGGACATCTTGCTAGTATATATAAGCACGCACATTTCTCTC